CATCATCATGGCCTGTGTAAAAAGACTTTTTTTATTGTTTTTTTTTTTGTTTGTTTGTTTGTTTTGGTTTGGTTTAGAGACAAGTTTCTCTGTATAGCATTGGCTGTCCTGGACTTGCCATGTAGACCAGGATGGCCTCAAACTCAGAGATCTGCCTGCCTTTGCCTTCCAAGTACTGGGATTAAATAAAGGTGTGTACCACCACTACCCAGCATAAAAAATGTTTTAAAGACATAAAAATATTGCACAGCATGGTGATATGTTCATGTAATCTCAACATTTGGGAGATAAGGCAAGACGATCAACAGTTCATCATCATCCTTGGTCAGATGAGACTCAAAAAACTAGAGTTGGATACAGTACTTCATACCTGTAATCCCATATATCAAAGATGGAAAGAGGAGGTTCAAGCCCAACCTGAGCCACAAAGCAAGTGTGAGATCAATAAACATATAAAAACAGAATACAAATATTGTTATTCTTGGTGAAGCAGAATAATCATGAGCTGAAGGCCTATGTGGACTACAAACTGAGTTTACGGCCATCTTAGACACTTAGTAAAAAAGTAAAAAAGCGGCAGGATGTACAGATCAAAGTTAGAGGTCAAGCAGTCACACTATCATAAGAGAAGAGCTGGGCATGGTAATGCATGCCTGGGTGGCAGAGGCAAGTGAATCTTTGTGTTTTCACGGCCAGGCAGAACTATATAGTAAGACCTTGTTGAGAGAGAGAAATGAGAAATATACAGACAGACAGACAATACAGAACACAAACTAAGGTTGAAAGATAATAACACGGACTGGAGAGATGGCTCAGAGGTTAAGAGCACTGGCTATTCTTCCAAAGGTTCTGAGTTCAATTTCCAGCAACCACACAGTGGCTCACAACCATGTATAATGAGACCTCTTGTCCTCTTCTAACATATAGGCATTCATGCAGGCAAAATAATGTGAAAATAATAATAAATATATAAATCTTTAAAAAATTACTTAATAAAAAAAGAAAGCACGTAAAAAAAAAAAAGATAACTTATTTTCTCTTACAATCCAACCAGCCACAAATTTTTCAAATTCATTACACAGAAGTTTAATTCTAAAGAAAAAAAATTATACCATCATTAAGAAAGAGAACTAGGGGCTTTATGGAGAAATGGCTCAGTGGTTCAGAACGATGGCTACTCTTCCAGGAGCTTGTTTGGCTCCCAGCAACCACATGGTGGTTTACAAACATCTATTAATTCTAGATCCAGGAGACAAGACACAACCATATAGTAAAAATAAAATAAAAGACAACTCATTATGTATCTTCTGATAAAAGAACACACTTCTCAAGAAATGCCTTAGAACAGGCATGAGAACACAGGCCTGTAACTGCAGCATAGAGGATAGAGGCCAGACAACCAACCTTTGTTCAAGAGGCTCGCTACAAAAGAACTTCAAGATCAGCTATAACTACTAGAGAGAATCTCCAAAAACCAAAACAAAATGAAAACAAAGAACAACTGAGATCTAATTTGTTAATTTACAAGAAAATACAAAGGACAAAAACACACCACAGGAATGAAAGGGCAAAGTTAGTCTATTGTGTCTGTAAGAGACAAATGTGACTTTTCATAATAAATAACGGTGAGCAAAAACACAAAGAAAAACCATGAGAGCAGCCAGAGACGTCCAGTCACAACTCTAGACATTATTTGGATCCTAATTAAAACTTTAACATTACCTCAAATGAATGCTCTTTGTTATCTTCCAATCTATAATCCAAAAGGACACTCAAAGACATGATGCTGCAATCAAACTTGCCACTTTTTGCAGCCCAGTTTGGATGTACAATTATGGCTGGTTCATCGGGCAAAATATATCTTCTTTCTTGACGTTGGCGTTCCATTTCCTCTTGACGTTTTCTTTCTTCTTCCTACACATTTGAAATTTTAAGTCATGTTAAAGCTTCAATGTACAAAGTGCACCTGTGTCAAAATGTACTCTAGCATTAAAAAAAAAAAAAAAGAAGAAGAAGAAGAAAGAGCGGGGTGTGGTGTTTTATAACTGTAATTCCAACACTTGGTAGCAGAGGCAGTAGGATGACCTTGAGTTCCAGCCAACTTAGCTACATATTGAGTAGTTATCAGACTAGCCTCTGCTGGGAGAGTGAGATCTTGTTCCAAAACAGAAATCAAAGTCTGACTTCTTAAAGTGATTATACTAGCCATAATGGTTAAAAACACAGACAGTACCTTTTATGGCTCTTAATTCTGTTTCTTAAATTTCCTTTTTTTACATTTTTTTTTTTTTAATTTAAGGGGGCAGAAATACACATGTGGGGGTCAGAGGTCAGGGAGTTGTTTCTCTCCTTCCATCCTGAGTCCTAGAGATTGAACTGCTGTTGTAAAGCTTAGCGGCAAGTGTTCATGAACACATCTGGCTTCTAGAAATAACTTCACCAAAGGATGTCAAGCCTTCCTGGGGAACAGTATGTCCCTGAGCTAGGATAGGACAGTACACACCTTATCCTGCTACAAAGCAGTGGCATAAGCTGAAAGAGCTCATACCCTGACCAGCTCTGTAACAGTATCATCATCCAAAAGATACTTATAACCCATGAAATAAAACAGAAAACCACAAATCCATGAACTGCCTGCTGTCACTCAGGGAAAGCTTTATCCTAAGAAATGTCCCCAGGAAGTTCCTGATCAGCATGCATAGCACAGTCTGCCAGAGCAGAATCCTGTCCCCTTCATAACCAAACTCTCATACTTGGTGATACTGAGGAGGAACCTCTGAGCTTTACTCACTTATAGCTGAGTTATTAAAATAAAAAAGCAGCCAGGTAGTGGTGGTACAAGCGTTTAATCCCAGCACTCACAAGGCAGAGGCAGGCAGATCTCTAACTTCAAGGCTATCCTGGATAACATATAGAGTTCTGAGGATAGCCAGGGCCAAACAGAACCTGACTCAAAAACAAGCAAAAAAACCACTAAGCAACACACGTCTGTGACCCCAGCATGTGAAAAGTCTGAGACAGGAGGACAACGAACAAAGAACAGCCTGGTTTTCATAGAGAAGTCAGGGCCAGCCAGAGTCACGTCAATAGTAACTTCTCTCAAAAAGTCAATTAAAAGGGAGTTGGGGGCTGGTGAGATGGCTCAGCAGTTAAGAGCACTGTCTGTTCTTCCAGAGGTCCTGAGTTCAATTCCCAGCAATTATATGGTGGCTCACAACCATCAGGTGTACATGCAAACAGAGCTCTCATACAAATAAAATAAATAAATCTTTAAAAAAAAATAAAAATAAAAAGGGGGGGGCAGGGCAGGGCAGAGAGACAGATAAATGAGTAAAGGACCTTGCTGCTGACCCTGATGACCCAAGTTTTCTCCTAGATCCATAGAATAGAAGGAGAAAACCAACTCTAGCAATTATCCTCTGACATCTGGGCAATTTCAAGGGCATGTTCAATTCCACACAAAAGAATGAATGAATATAAGTGATTTTTTATAAAAGGAAGATCAGAATTTTTGGAGGACACGCTTAAACACACAGTAAACACTAACTACGGTGAGTATCACCTCCACAGTATAAAACCTAACAAAACGTCTAAAAATTTTTTAAAAGACTTCAAAAGCCAATGAGGTGACTCATGAAGAACATGTACTTAGTCAGGTGTGGCATGTAGTGGCACATGCCTGTGATCCCAGCGCCCAGGGGCAGAGGCAGGCAGATTCTCTCTGTGAGTTCAGACACAGCCTGGGCTACAAAGTGAGTCCAGGACAGCCAAGACTATACAGAGAAAAAGAAAAGAAAAGCACTTGTCATGGAAGCCTGAAGACCCAGTTTAGTGTGCCCTGCCCACTTCTCACACCTTAACCCAAGGTGGAGAAAGAGAACCAAGTTGTGTCATTTCCTGACTTATACACACACAAATAACAACAATAACAACAACAATAATAAGCTTAAAAAAAAAAAAAAAAGACTTTGGACTGGAGATGGTTCAATGGTTAAGAGCACTTGTTGCTCTTGAAGAGGACCCAGGTTTGTTTTCCAACCCCCACATGGTGGCTCACAACCATCTGTACTTCAGTTCTAGGAGATCTACTGTCTTTTTCTGATCTCTGTGGGTACCAAGCATATACAAATGCAGCAAAAACATTTATACAAATAAAAACATCTGGGTCAGATTGTACTTGCTCTGTATAAAGAGATGTTAATCATCTGAAAATTTATGCCCAAAAGTAGAATATAGAGTTAATTTGACCTTTATTTGCCTAGTCTGCCTTTTCTAGGCTTAAAGCTGAAGACACCTACTAACAACTATGACCAGAAAAGGAGATCATAAAAGGACTGAAGTTCTAGTACATCTCTTATCTATTCTTAGAAAAAAACAAATTTTCCTCCTCCCTTTCCTGAACTGTCTATAATCAACTTGTAAAGAAAACTCCATCTTTTCCACTCTTTGGAAAAGAAAAAAAAGCTTTATCTCAAAAAACTATACCCAACACTTATCTCTTAGATACCATTTTTACTCCCATGGAATAAATTTCAAGAGACCTATGTCTACTATACAATTGCAAATATATAATCAAAAAATTAACTCAGCTTCCTTAGTGTCTGTGTGAACGTATGTAGTGTAGTCAATGCACATGCATGGAAATGCATGTGGAGGCTAAGGTGTTTTCTTCTCCTGTTCCTCACCATAGTTTTGGAGACGGGGTCTCTCACTGAACCCAGAGCTCACCAGCTGGCTGGACTGACTGGCCAGTGAGCTTAGGAGATCCTCCTACTCACTGCAGCCCCACTGTTAGAGGCCCAGCTTCTAGAAGGATGCTGAAAATCCAAATTCAGGTTCCTCGTTTTTCTAACAGAACTATCTTACTTTACCTTCAATATTATCTAATGTCACCTCCATTTAGCACAATAAGCACATTTTCCCAACTATATCCAAAACTCTTTACTCTCTCCTCCAATGATGAAATCTAACTTAGAACCTTATAAACATTAGACAAGTCCTTTTCCATAGAGCTACACTCCAAGCTCCGCAAACTTTAAAATATTTTTTAGCCAGGCAGAAGAAGTCTGTAAGTCCAGCTCTCAAGAAGCAAAAGCAAAGTCACAAGGTCTTGGCCAGTGAGTTCTAGTCCAGTCTGAACTATTTGGTGACACCCTCTCAAATAAACACAAAAAAAATTTTGGTTGTCATGTCTCGGTAAGCTCCTTTACTCTAAGACAGTATTTCATTAACTAAATGAACTTTTTTCTTAGGCAAGTTACTTTATAACTTTGTGCTCTGTATTTTTTTAATTTTAATTTTATGTGTACCAGTGTTTGGCCTATATGTATGTAAGTTAACTAGATACCCAGTGCCCTCTGAGGTCAAAAGAGGGCAGTAGATCCTAGAAAGTAGAGGAAGCCCTGAGTGAGTGAATGTGTATTTTGACATGAGCAAGGCCTGTCAAGGACTCTGACACCAACTGGCCAACAGTAAGTTGGATGGACAAGCAGTTATACATAGGGGCCATGCTCACGAGCAGTGGCAAAGCTTTTTTTGGGAGTCTGTGTACGAGTATTTATAGGTGACTAATCATTATGTGCAAAAACTAGCAACTGCAGTTTTCTCCTCCTGGGTGTTCATAGCTTGAGAGTGCCAGCCTACAGAGATCTCCAGTCCAGATTGGCCAAACTCTCTGTGCTGTACTTAATAAACACGATAAGGTTTCAGGCTGCAGTGTTATTGGTTTAAAAACCCCTTGTGATTACAGCTTCTCTTGTATGTGTGCCTGTCCTTCCTCCATTCCCTTGCCCTTGCTAGGTAGGGTTATATAGACTGAATCCTGAAGAGCATGTAGCAAGATTCCCTGGAACTGGATTAAGAAATAATCATGACCCATCATCATATTGGTGCTAGGAACTGAACTCAGGTCCTCTGCTAATAAAAGCAAATGCTCTTAACCACTGAGTACCCCAAGTACTCCCCACCTCCCTTTTTGAGAAGGAAAACTCTCACTGTAGCCCAGGTTAGTCTCAATTTTAAGACCTTCTACCTCATGAGTACTGAATACTCAGTTCAGACTAGCCTGAGCCTGCAAAACAACAGTCTTTAAAAAAGTTTTTATTTCACAGTATTTAAATTATAACTCAAAACTATACACACACAATTTGAGTCACAAGTTCCAAAAGCTCCCTCTAAAACAATATTAATAACATCCCAGTATGCAAACAGACTACATACCTCTTTATCATCCTCAGACTTCCTATCATCCTCATCTTCCTCTTCCTTTTCAGACTTCTCTAATTCCTTTTGCTCTTCTTTTTGTTCTTCTACTTTAAGCTGTTTTGTCAAGCGAGCTATTAACTGGGATTTTAGTCCTTTTGAACTAAGAGCTCGACTTTCTAATTCTTTTCGGAGATCATTTACCTAAATATATTAAGCACAAAAACACAGAAGAAAGGATATAAAAGAAAACAAATTATCTTTTGTCTGATTGTTAATGTCAGGATTACTGTGGTCTACATAAGGAGTTGCAGGCAATCCAGGGCTACATACAGTGAGACCCTGTTTAAAAAAGTAAAAAATTAGTGGAAGAGACACTGTCCATACAATGCTTTTGAAAATTCAAACTAATAATTATATTTGAAAATTAGTTCAAAATTTGTTTTTCAGTATGCACACAAATGCACACTTGCCTTGGCACTTGCTCCCGTCAGAGGACAACTTTCAACTTGTCAGTTCCTGCCTTTTACCATGTTGAAGCAGAGTCCACCTTTTCTGGTTTTTTTTTTCGGGATGCTACTACAGGTGGTGTTTTATTTGTGTTCCTGGAATTAGCCTCTACTTGTGAGGCTTACACGGCAGCAGTTTTATCCAGGAAGCCATCAACCTGACACTTTTGGTTTACTGAGATAGTTTTCATATAGCCTAGACTGGTCAAACTTTCTTATGTAAGCGGCAGGCCTTGAACTCTAGATCTTCCTGTTTTACCTCTGATGTATTGGAAATACAAACAACACATCACCAAACTTGGCTCTAGAACATTTTTATTTTTAATGTGCTTTTACATTTTGTGCTGAGAGTTGAATTCTAGTCCTTTAAAAAGGCAATGTCCTCTCTTAAGTACCTAGTTATCTCTTAAGGTCCCAAAAAAAGCTTTAAAATGTTTAAGAACATTTTAAGCCATGTAAGATGGCACATGCCAAGAACCCCTATTTGAGGCCAACCTCTGCAATATCATGAGAATTTGTCTTAAAGAAATATGTATATTTCTATATACATATTTAGCCAGGTTACCACCACCTGGCAAAAGTATTTTTTTTTTCCTTTTTCTTTTTGCTTTTTTAAGACAGGACTTCTCTGTGTAACAGAGCCCTGGCTGTCCTCGACTTGCTTTGTAGAACAGGTTGCCTTCAAACTCAGAGATCTGCTTACCTCTGCCTCCCTGAGTGTTGGAATTAAATATGTGCACCACCATGCCTAGCCCAAGTAAAATATTTCTTTAAAAAAAATAATTGACCCAGGGTTCCCTAGAAGAACAGCTCTTAAATGCTGAGTCATCTCTCCAGCTCCAAGTAAAATATCTTTATTTATTTTATTTTACTTTTTAAAATATTATTTATATGGTATACAGCCTGCATATGTGCCTTCAGGCCAGAAGACAGCATTTGATCCCATTATAGATGATTGTGAGCCACCGTACGGTTGCTGGGAATTGAGCTCAGGACCTCTGGAAGAGCACAGAATGTTCTTAGCACTGAGCCATTTCTCCAGCCCCCAAAGTAAAATAGCTTAATTGCCCAATAGAGAATAAATATTTTTAACAGAACACAGAATCTATATTCAATAGAATGTGATGTTTAAAAATAATTCCACTGGGGCTGGGTGTGGTGGCATAATGTCTTTAATCCTAGCACTCAGAAGGCAGAGACAGGTGGATCTCTGAGTTGGAGGCCAGCCTGGTCTACAGAATTTCAGGATATTCAGGGTGACACAGAGAAACCCTGTCTTGAAAAACGAGCAAAAAGTATACTGGGAAACTAATGCTAATTGAAAAAGAATGAGATATGCTTTTCTTTTTAATTTTTGTAAGATATACTTTTTCCATGTAACATATTATAACCATGGAGTCATGGTTGTACCCAGTAGAGAGCAACTAGAAAGAAACAAGTAAAAAAAAAAAATTTACTACATTTATTTATTTAGGGGAAGGGTGTGCTATAGTGTATAAATACAGATCAGAAGACAATTGGTAGGTTCTGGGAATCAAACTCAAATCAGCTTTAGTGACAAAAGTTTATATCCATCAAGATACATCATTGAATCCTACCAATGAATTTATTTAGGTTATATTGGATAAGCATGGGTAAGATTTTTTTTTATGTTTAATTGAAAAAAAAAAAAGTACATGCTAATAATAATCAAAAGAAATACAGGTTGTTTTTTTTTTGTTTTTTTGTTTTTTTTGAGGCATTGTCTAGCTATATAAACTAAAACTCATTATTCTCTAATTTCAGCCCAAGTATTGTGACTGCAAACAAAGCCCCCATGCTTAGCCACTTCTTATTTTCTTACTATTATTATTTTGTAGGTTTTTTTCAAGACAGGGTTTCTCTGTATAGCTCTGGTTATCCTAGAACTTGCTCTGTAGACCAGGCTGGCCTTGCACTCCCAGAGATCTACCTGCCTCTGCCTCCCTAACTGCTGTAATTAAAGGCATTCTCTACCACACTGGGCCTGGCACATATTTTAAAACAACTTCAGGTTGGGTGCAGTGGCATACATAGCAAGACCTCATCTCAAAAATCAACTGAGAGGCTAGAGAGATGATGGCTCAGCAGTTAAAAGTACTTGCTGTCCTTGTAGAGGATCTGGGTTCTGGTTCCAGGAGTTCTAACACCCTCTTCTGGCTTCTGCAGGTACCAGCATGAGGTGTTGCACATACATACCTGCATACATACATGCAGGCAAAATATACAGGAAAATAAATCTAGAACTACACACATGTTGGGCATGGTGTTGGTGGCACACCCACACAATTATAGCAATTAGGAGGTAGAAGCAGCAGCCTCAGAAGTTTGAGGCCATCCACAGCTACACAGCAAGTTTGAGAACACCTCAGATTACATGTAATCCTATCCTTAAAAAAAAAAAAAAAAAAAAAAGTAAGCAAATAAAAATCAACAAAAAAATTTACAAAGCGGCCTGGTAAGACAGTTCAATGGCCTTTTCAAAAAGCCTAATGATACAAGCATGATCCCTGAAGCCAACAAGCTGTCCTCTGACCTCCACACACCTGTTATGGCAAACTAATGCTACCTCCCCAAATGTGTGAGAGAGAGAAAGGAAAGAAAAAAGGGAGAAAGAAGGAAGAAGAAAAGAAAGAAGAAAGGAAGGAAGGAATCAAACTTTAAAAACCAAGCAATGAAGCTGGATGTCCTGGGACATATATATTTAATCACAGCACTCAGAAGGTAGACTTCTTTGAGTTTGAAACTACCTTGGTCTACAGCTAGGCCAGAGTTGCATGGCATTTTTGTCTCAAAAATACAGACCCAACACAGATAAGCAACTAATAGCCCAGTGCACAGAAACACTACCACAGCTACCACAATTAAAGATTTTTTTTTTAAGTTCTTATTTTCTTTCCCAGTTTAGTAGAAAATTTACCTACATTTTACTTTGAAAATTATTATAAAAACCAGATTTGTCACCAGGTACAGTGGCCCATGCCTTTAATCCCAGCACTTGGAAGGTGGCAGATAGATCTCTGGGTTTGAGGCTAGCCTGGTCTACAAAGGCAATTCCAAGACGGCCAGAATTGTTACACAGAAAAACCCTGTCCTGAAAAAGTAATCAACTAATAAATAAATAACCAGATTTTCCTGTGTAGTCTTGGCTGTCCTGGAACTCAGCTTTGTAGACCAGGTTGGTCTTGAACTCAGAAATCCAACTCCTCTGACCCCTGAATACTCCTGATTGAAGGCCTCCCTGCCTCTGTATCCTAAGTGGTAGGATTAAAGGTGTGTGCCACCTACACCTTGACAGATTTATCTTTTTCCTTTGTTTTTTTCATTCATTAGGTTATTTAGGCATAGAAATCCTGCAGTGCTGGAAACTTCCCAAACCAGAAAACAGTGCAATCAACACATATACTGGAGGCACTGACAGACACTACATATCTGAACTATAATATAGGCACAATATATCTAGTGATAGAAAACCAGAGGACTTAACATTGAATACCCCACATCCTACATTTATTTGTTTGGTTTTTTTGTTGTTGTTGTTGTTGTTTTTGAGACAAGGTTTCTCTGTTTAGCCCTGTCTGTCTTAGAACTAGCTCTGCAGATCTCAACTCAAGAGATAGCTGCCAAGATAGCATCTCAAGTGCTGGGATTAAAGGTGTGTACCACCATGTCCTACCCCTATTAAAGACAGAGTCCTCCTTTACATCCTAGGCTAGCCTAAAACTCACTCTGCTGAAATGCATGACAATCCTATTGCTGTGGCCACCTAAAACCCGAGATAATGGATAAGAGACACCACATACCTGGTTGAGTATTTTCTAGTTAAAACAATTCTTTCACTCAACATATTTACTCATTCTGTTCAGAAATTCAGAATTTTAAAATATTTTTTATTCATTGTTATTATGTGTGTGTGTATGAAATATGAATACATTTTCAGTTACCTTCATTGCCTTTGGATCAAGCTTAGACCAATGGGTAGGAGTAGAAATTTCTTTAACTTCACCATCATCCTTCTCTTCTTCATCCTAACATACAAAGTTGAGAACAACATTACTATTCTGAAACCTTAAAACATAAGTAATTTATTTTTAAAAGTCTGTTGCTGATCTGTGCAAGGTCACAATGTTTCAGATTGTCTTCTCCTAAAGTTATTATTTAGGCAAGTCCACATACATACATTCTACCACTTTTAACTGATCACAAAGACATCAGCCAATCATAGCCAGATCTGTGAAACACAAAAGGGTGATAAATTACAACACAAAGGATATCGGGATACACAGACACTGCCGGTCTCCACTAACCACACAGTGTGTGATCTGCCCTAATTTTCAAGCCACCCAAAGACTGATTTAGTCAGACCTTTGAAATGTACCCAAGACGTTGCCACATAGCCTGAAATTTCAAATCTCTCAGACTTGTGGTTGTCCAATTTCAAATATCCATGACTAGAACTGATGACCGTGAAAGAGAAAATTTTTTAAATTTTAGAAAATGGCAAAATGTTTAAAATGGCTTAATACTGAATCTTGCTCAACAACTGGTCCCAGATTCCAGCAAATAGACCTATGATAAAAACAAAATTCTGTGCAATATAAGCACAATTTTTTTCTTTGAGGTCTCAGCACTCTTAAATTTAAGTTAGCATTATAGACAAAGATTTTTATGAGAAAAGAATATACAACTATACTGCTGAAAGCTGGATTACCAGTCGCTGTTACCAGTTATGTTCCTCCATGTGTGTCTGTTATGTAGTGTGTGGTGTGCATTTGTGCCTGTGTTCCTGTGCCTGTGAGAAGCGGAAATAGAAAAAGGGATTAGCGTTCAGTGCCTGTTCTCCATCAGCCTTCTTGCGTTCACCCTGAAGCTTCTCGATCAGCTGCTGCTTGTATCCTCGGGAGAGGGTTTCCCACTCTGAGCGGGTGGGAAGGCAATGCCAAACATCCGGGAAAAATAAAACCACTGTCTCCACATGAGCTGGAACTGTACGCCCCTTGTGGGTCTCCTCAGGGCGATGGTAGCGAATCTCTGCAAAACGGTACCTGTTGCAAGGGAAGAAGCATGTTGGAAAAAAAATTCTACAATACATTTTAAAGACCCTAGTTCACTTGTAGCACATCAAGTAAAGAAATTTTGCTGCAAGAACTTGAGGTTGGTCTAAAGAAAAAAAAAATTATAGAAGCCATAGTTCCTCTTTTGGTACATTTGTATAATAGTTTATTGGTTAAAAGAATACATTTCCACAAAGAATTTTCTGATTTGATTACAGAGCTACCCATATTTTATAGAATACCTGAAGAAGCTGGAAAGCTGTTCAGATTTCATGTGCTAAAAAAAGAATATTCTCAATTAAATGTTAAGAAATATACTAAAATATACAGGACAAATAAGCCTCAAGAGAAAATATGGCTGAACAAAAATAATCAGCAACTACATCACTTTATAACAAAGAAATTATAATGAAATGAAGTTCTCTCTGGACGATCTTCTCCAGCTATACATGAAATGAAAAGTATTTTCAACATACATCCAATTTCCAAAGTACAGCATAAGAAAACATTTAAATTTTGAGTGTATTTTGATTAGTTCTTAATGCCCCTTTCCCAAAACATTTTTGGCACCAAATAAACTTTTGCTACAAATGGGGATTTTCCTTTGAGATTACCTGCATGACCATTGTTGACAAAATAAATAAAGGGGAGGGGGCGCTGATTGACAAGAACAGCTACATAAACTATTAAAAAAATATTCCTAATCAAGAAATGAATTAGTACTTACCATTGTGTGCATACACTTAGATCAATGCCTGTCAGAGCCTTACAACAACGAATGGCAGTCTTAATCAACACAGAGGGGTCTTTTTCTGGGTTTGGTCCATCCAGCGAAGGAGACCAATGGCCTCCAATAGCCATGGCTTCATCCTTGCCTTTCATGCCCACTAGAAACTAATTCATAACAAAGAATCACTTACATATATAAGGTAGCTCATCAAATTATAAATAGATTCTTGGAAAGGAAAGGTACAAACCTTCCCAGTATCATTTTTACTACCTCTGGACTCTGCGAGTCAAGGAAGAGTTCAGTTCATCATGTTCCACACTGCATTTCAGCAATGGAATAGGATTTACATCATAACCCATCCTCTAACATGCTTCATCACAAAAGAGTTCTTTTAAAGAAACAAGCTATGTGTAAACACAAATTCCAACAGCAGCCAACAGATTCTACTAGGCTACAGGTATACTGCATCAAATTCTCAGCAAAACTAGAAACACAGAAATACACAGCCATGGTCCACAACGGGAAAAATATCTCTAATTATATGAAAGTAGACTTAATATTATTGAATAACTAACAAGATTTAAAATGTGTTTGTTCTCAATCTTAGGTAAACACAGCTGAGAACTAAGATAAATAAATACACAACTAAAACCAAATAAGCATTTTATTTTACCTTAACAAGTCTAGCAGGATGCTGAAATCCATCACGAAGTTCTTGGGGGTCTTCAGCAAGAGCACATGACTTATGATACAAATCTTCCATACTAGGGCTAGCCATCAGCATTACCTATTATGGTCAAATAATTCAATCCTGTCAAAAGTCTAAAGTAACGTAAAAATAATGAAAAGTACTACTAAACATCACACATACAAGATTTATTTCCCTAAAAATGGAATGTAAACGCTACAGAAAAAAGTGTTATTAGATGACTTATCAACCTTACATTTTCAAATCAATCTTTTAAAACAGACAACCTAAGCAACATCCCGAAAGCTACCCTGAAGACTAGTATTTACCACACTCACCAACACTTAAGTTTTATCCAGGTCTATAGGAAGTTATATGACTCTCAACATCAACTTGCTCACATTTTTGAAGTTTAAAATGACAACAACAACAGCCATTGTTTTATAGCTTAAGAATTAAGACAGGAATTCAAATAACATTTTTAAATAGCTAATACAAAAGCAGGCAATGAAAATAAGGATTTGGGTCTTTTATTTAACAACCAGTTTCTAAAGGATAATTCCAAATGCTATCAATTCAGAACGGTATCACAATGGAATACAAACCTTTGCACTGTACAGGTGGTCAGCATCAGGTGCATCAAGAACAGCCATATTTTTTTCTAAGGACTCTACTTCTCTGTGCATCACATAAAAATTGCAGTAATTTCCCAGTTGAAATGGTCTTGACAAAGGGAAAGCATCCACCCATGTAAACTGAGCATCAAAAAAGTCACTAGGAATATATAAATTCTGATAACGGCGCCTTAGTTCCATCATGTCACAACTGGGACTGTAAAACAGACATAAGTAGTGAATAAACAGCCTTACGACCAAAGCTATATAAAATTTGACAGAGTAAAAACGAACAGATTCAAATCTACATACATACATTATTTAATGGTATCTACATGTTACTTTACTTCTCTATTTTTGTGTCCAACTTAATTCCTTAGAGAAGACCCACTGAAATAACTACAAGACGAATTCCAGAGAACATCTGCACGAAAGTTTTTCTCCCTCAGTTGAAGTATGTATATTTGAAAAGAATTACAGTTCATACAAAAATGTATACAAAAAATAATGAAAGGTACCAAGTTAGTATTTGAATATCTTTCAATCACATTTACGTTACGTACAAAACATTTAAGTTACATAGAAAACTAAAATTTTATTCTATAGTAAGTGTCTAGATTAAATATACTTAAATTTAAAAAGTCACAAGTCAGGTGTGATGGTACCTGAATCCAAGCACTCCAGAGGCAGAGGCAGGCAGGAGACTTCATGTTAAAGGCAAAATCATGTGAAAGCAAAATCCAAATTAGCTCAAAATTATCTACACCATCACACCCCTTCAATAAACATGAAAGATCTGTATCTATAACAAATTAGTATGTAAGAGGGACTTTTCTTGCTGTTTGTATCTGACAATGCCTTTGTAAGAAAAACTGTGTATGTATATTTTGTCTATACGTGTTGTGTACCAGGTAAATACCTGGTACCTGGGGAGGTCAGAAGAGGGTGTCAGATCCCCCTGAAACTGAACAGTTATAGTAGTCTGAATGAGAAAGACCCTATTGGCTCATATATTTGAATGCTTGGTCTACAGTTGATGGGACTGCCCCGGAAGGAGCAGAAGGGGTGGTCTTGTTGTAGAAGGTGTATCACTGGGGGTGAGTTTTGAGGTTCCAAAAGCCCTTGAGATCCTCAGTTATCTTTTTCTAGTTCTGCCTTGTGCTCATAGATAAGCTACTCTGACACAGCCACTCCTGTCTACCTGCTGCCATGCAATGTACATGACGGTCACGGAATCTACTACCCTCTAGTTGGCTTGCTCATGATGTCTCTTCACAGCAACAAAAAAATAAAGCCAGATGGTGGTGGCACACAACTCTAATCCCAACACTCAGGAGGCAGAGGCAGGCAGATCTGAGTTCAAGACCGTCCTGTCAACAGAGTAAGTTCTAGGACAAATAGGGCTACACATACACAGAGAAACCTTGTCTTGAAAAACAAACAAAGAAAGCGGGGGGGGGGGGGGAGAGAGAGAAAGAAATAGATTGTTTGTGGATGTGGCTAGGTAATAAAAGGCTTACAGAACATCCAAAGGGTGCTGTGTTGCAAAACAGTGCCAATATTTCAATACCTAACTAGGGACAGCAGACATGTATAGGCAAACCATTTACAGCTGCTGATACAACACCACTGCCGTTAAGATTCCACTGTCAGAACAACAGAAAAGTGGAAAACACATCACTAGGTTTGTTTTTAAGATTTAAATTTTTATATATATCTGCATGTCTGTTTGTGTGTGTGCACCATGTGCACACAGGTACCAGAAAAGGGTATGGGATCTCCTGGAACAGAAGTTATGGGCAACTCCATGTTCGTGCTAGGAACCGAATTCATTTTCACTGAAAGAGTATCAAGTGTTCGTAACTGCTGAGCCATCTACCCAGACCTGAAGATTTATTTTATTACCACTTCTAATTATGTGTTATTATGTAAGTCTGTTCGTGGTATGTGCAAAGGTAGTTGTGAGCTGCCAGAAATGGTGCTGGGGATCAAACTCAAGTCCTCTACAAAAACACCATAAGCTATTTTAACTGCTGAGACATCGCTTCAGCCCACAACCTTCAGAGGCTTTTTTTTTTTTTTTTTTTTTTGCTTTTCAAGACAGGGTTTCTCTGTGTAGTCTTAGCTGTTGTCCTGGATCCTGGACTTAATCTGTAGACCAGGCTGACCTTGAACTCAATGAAATCCACCTGCCTCTGCCTCCAGAGTACTGAGAAAGAAAGTTATGTAAAAAATTTTCAACACTAAATTAACAAGTCACATCTTGCCCCAAAGTGTTAACATATATAATAAAGCAGTGGTTAAGTACAAACAATTCATTTTCCTAGCTCATAATCATACTAGTGTAAGGAAGTTTTGATTTCTAGAACTACAGATGAAGAGTTTTCAATTTTTATTTGCAACTGGTTCATTTGATGTTCTGGGAACTTATATAAAGACAGTAAAATGAAATTGGGAAAATGCAATTAAGAGGTAGATGGCTATTCTATTACCAGCTTTTCAGAGAAAAACACTGACTACTGAAAACAAGTAGAATAAAAAAAAAAGCTTCTCAAGCCAGGTGCCTGTAATCCCAGCACTCGGGAAGGCAGATGCAGGCAGATCTCTAAGTTCGAGGCTAGACTGGTCTACAAATCGAGTCCAGGACAGCCAAGGATACACAGAGAGAAACCCTGTCTTAAACAAACAAACAAACAAACAAACAAACAAAAAAAAAAAAAAAAAAGAAAAGAAAAAAGTTTCTCCATGTAGCAATGTTTTGGAGGTTGGGGAAGTGCTTTTTGTTCCCTTTAGGTTTTTCTGAAATACGCAATGTATATATTTAAATCTCAGAATAAACAAAAATAAAAACCACTGATACATACATTTTATATTGTTTGCAAGGAATGCTTTTGGTTAGTTGGTTTCAGTACTGAACTTGAACCTAGAACCTCCACATTAGGAAAGCATTCTAGTCCCAAGCTATAGCCCAAACCTATAGGTGCTTCTTTTAAGTAGCTGCTATCCTAAATGTGTACTCAAAAATAATTCCCCTTTTAAAGAGCAAAATTTCCAAATTCAAACTGCATTTCCGCCCTCAGATAAACAGCATGAAATATTACAAAATAATTTTACAAAAAAAACAAACAACTTCACTTATATATATTCTATACAAAATTATATAAAACAATGTCACTAATAAAATTAAAACGAACAAACCACAGAAAAGAAGACTTACCAATCCAAAGAAAACTTCGAAAACTGTACTGTGTAGCGTGGAACAACACGACGAACTCTCCGAGGGGATCGCTCTCTTTCTCTCCGGGGTGACCTCTCCCGGGAACGTTTCCTCTGAGGTGATCTCTCTCGGGATCTGCGTCGTTCTCTGTCCCTTTCACGACTTAAAGCAAGGATTTCTAAAATTACTCTGGGGCCAGCAAGATGGCTCAGCCATACAGGTACTACTATCAAGCTTGAGAACCTGAGTTTCATTCCCAGAAACCACATGGTAGGAGAGGACAGACTCCTCCAAGTTTTCCTCTAGCCTTCACACATATACCATGGCAACAGATATTAAATAAATGTAGTAGTAACAAACTGCTAATATTTGCTACTATTATGAAATAGTTTTTGCCAAAGCATGGTGGTGTATACCTTTAGTCCCAACACTCAGAAGGCAGAGGCAAGTAGATCTAGTACAAGTTCTAGGCCACCCAAGGCTACATAGTTATTTCAATTTTTTTCTTTCCTGTTATAGACACCAGGATGGCTTGGGAGAACCTCCAAATTTTTTGTCTTATGTAAATCAGTGTTTTGTCTGCCTGTGTCTGTGCACCTCATGGATGGTAAACCCCAGAACTACTGTTACAGATGGTTGTCTGCCACCATATGGACGCTTGGAACCAAACCTGGGCTTACAGAAGAGCAGACAGTAGTGCTCTTACCTCTAAGCTGTTTCTCCAGCCCACAATGTTACAGTTTTTTTAAAAAATAATTTATTTAATTTTTATTTTATGTGATTATGGTAAAGGTGTCAGATCCGTTACAGACAGTTGTGAGCTGCCATGTGGGTGCTGGAAATTGAACCTGGGTCCTTATGAAGAGCAGTTGGCACTCTTAACCACTGAGCCATCTCTCTAGCCCCTACAATGTTATTTTCAAACATACCTTCGGTCATCTTTTCTATTAGGTACTTGATCCCCTCTGTCATTCCTTCCTGAAAATCTAGATGGTGGATCTAATCTCCGTGCAGGTTGTGGCTGTGACACTATTCGAACAGGAGGCTGCAATAAGCCAGCTTCAACAGATACAAAAGAAAAAAACAAACAAACAAAAATTGTTAAACAAAGCTCAAAATACATTCCACATCTGAATAATATAAACAAGGAAGCGAGATTCACCAAAGTTGTCTTTTTTCAAGTCATCAAAATAGATGACTTTTTAGATTTTATTTATTTACACATACATATACATGAATGCATGCACACACACACAGTATTCTGTCTGCATATGTGCCTGAAGGCCAGAAGAGGGCACCAGATCACGTTATAGATGGCTATGAGCCACCATGTGGTTGCTGGGAATTGAACTCAGGACCTTTGGAAGAACAGCCAGTGCTCTTAACCGCTGAGCCACCTCTCCAGCCCCCAAAATAGAGTTTTTTAAAGGAAGCAGTATTGTTCGGTGATTTCTCCCTGGTACTGAAAACTAAAAATTTTAATTTTAAAATAACATAAATAACTATTTTTCCATATAGGACAATAAACTCAACCTCGTTGATACAATGGAAGCAAAATTATCTATGTTAAAAAATACAAAGTGGCTGGGCAGTGGTAGACGCCTTTAATCCTAGCACTCTGGAGGCAGAGGCAGATGGATCTTTGTTAGTTCCAGGCCACAGAGAGACCCAGTCTCAAAAAAACAAAACAAAACAAAAAAAAAAACAACAAAAACTAATGTGTTTCAAAGTTCTTTTCTGCCAGGTGTGATGGTTCATGCCTTTAATCCTAGAGAGACAGAAGCAAGTAGATCTCTGAGCTCAAATACAGCCTGATCTATATATCAAGTTACAGGACAGCTAGGGCTTCATTGAAACCCTGTCTCAAAAAACAAAAACAAAGAAACAATAGAATTCTAATGAAATTTTCTTAAAAACAAAACTGCCTTTGGCTCCTAAGTCTAGAGCTATTAATAATGACTATAATCAATCAGTGGAAAGCAAGTACTACTTACTACTGAGCTGCATCCCAGGCCTCAACAACTACATTTTTATTTTATTAAACAATCTTTAAAAATATTTCTTTTATGTGTACAGAGTTCTTTGCCTTTCTGTATTTGTGCATACCACATAGTTGGCTGGTAACTCCGGAGTCAGTGTTCTAGACAATGCAAAATTTAAATTCTCATCTTTTCAACATTTCATATTTTATAAGATTTAAGAATATATTTTAGGGGCTGGAACAGTGGTTCAATTAGTAGTTAAGAGTACAAGCTGATCTTGTAGAAGACCTGGGTTCAATTCCTAGAACCTACATGGTGGGTCAAAACCAGCAACTCCAGTTCCAGGAGATCTGAAGCCTTCTTCTGACTTCCCTGGACACCAGGCACATATGCAGTTCACATACAAACAAACAGACAAAACAATTCATACATGTACAATAAAGTAAATAAATCTAAACCTCTTAAAAAATAATATATTTTCAAACAAAAGTGTTGTGGCTATAAACATGTTTTTGTTTTGGTCCCAGGTGTGGAATGTGGGGCTGATTCATATGGTCCACAGCAGCAGACTATTTGCCTCATTTGGGCTGTGAGACAAGTTCTTTGCCAGCTGCAGATAGTTTGAATCTGAGGACTCTGGAGAGAAAATAAATGTCAGAGCCCAGAGAGACACAAAGTTGAAGATCTCCTGAAACAAGGGGATTGGACTGGCTCCAATGAACCCAACCCTAGCCAGCAGGAAGCAGCTAAGAGAACTGCATCCCCTCTCCCACTAAATCTTTCTCTCTCCTGCCTGGTGTTGCTCAGCATAAGAATTTGGTCAGTATAAGAATTACTCAGGGGCTGGAGAGATGGCTCAGTGGGTAAGAGTGCTGTTTACTCTTCCAAATGGATCTGGGTTTAATTCCCAGCACCCACATGGCAGCTCACAACTGTCTGTAATGCCAATTCCAAGGGATCTGATACCTTCACACTAATTCACATAAAATAAACATTAAAATAAAATTTAAAAAAAAAAGAATTACTCAATTTAAAGGTCTCTGAAGTAAAGAGAACTATATTATGCAAAATGAAAAACAAGATATAACATTTTTTATGATATGAGAAATTCACCATCTCTCAGCAAAATATTTTTCTGGCAACAGACTTTGAGATAGTGAGTACGAGCCTGGCATGACAGCACATGCCTTTAATGCCAGCGCTCAGGAGGCAGAAGCATGTAGCTCTCTGTGAGTTTGAGGCCAGTCCGGTCTACAAAGCGACTCTAGGACATCCAGGGCTATACAGAAAAACCCTGTCTCAATAACAAAGACAGTGATGAGGGGGCTGGAGAAATGGCTCAGTGGTTAAGAGCACTGGCTGCTCTCCCAGAGAAGATGGGTTCAATTCCCAGCACCCACATGGCAGCTCACAACTGTCTGTAACGTCAATTTCAAGGGATCTGATACCTTCACACTAAAATACACATAAACTAAAACAATTAAAAAAATAATAATAATATGTATTAGTTGACAGAGAAAACGTAAGAGAATTTTTTAAAAATCTTTATGAATACAATCACCTAAAACAAGTTGGCAAGCATTTTTTGCAAATAACTAAGTCACGATACTCAGGGGCATGGGGGTGTGTGTGTGTGTGTGTGTGTGTGTGTGTGTGTGTGTGTGTGTGTG